GCACAAATGGTAACGGGGCACGCCTATATAGTGACTGACAAATAATAACGTACAACTGAAATTTCATAATGTAAACTAGCACAACTGCAATTAAAAAAAAAGTTGTTTGGAGGCTGGTCTGGTGGCACAGCCATTAAGTTCACAGGTTCTCCTTTGGTGGCCTGGGGGTTCGGACCCTGGGTGTGGACCTATGCACAGCTTGTTAAGCCATGCTGTGGCAGGTGTCCCACGTATAAAGTAGAGGAAGATGGGCACAGATGTTAGCTCAGGGCCAGTCTTCCTCAGCAAAAAGAGGAGGATTGGCAGCAGATGTTAGCTCAGGGCTAATCTTCCTCAAAAAAAAAAAAAGTTGTTTTGTTTATGCCAGGACCTTTTCCTTTCTATATGAATTTAGAATCAGCTTGTTGATTTCTCCAAAAAAAGCCTGCTATGGTTTTGATTGGGATTGTGCAGGATCTACAGATCAATTTGAAGTATGAGGAAACTGGTGACTTGCCTAAGGTCATCTACGAAAAGGAAATCACTGTGTGGGGCTGGACTGGTGGCATAGTAGTTAAGTTTGCACACTCTGCTTCAGTGGCCCAGGGTTTGCGGATTCAGATCCTGAGTGCAGACCTGCATAGTGCTCATTAAGCCATGCTGTGGCAGCATCCCTCATACAAAATGCAGGAAGATGGGCACAGGTGTTAGCTCACCAACAATCTTCTTAAGTAAAAAGAGGAGGATTGGCAATGGATGATATCTCAGGGCCAATCTTCCTCACCAAAAAAAAAAAAAAAAGAGGAAATCACTGTAATCCTTCCCTTTGATGGTCATAATGGGGACTGTATGAATAAATTTATCTAAAGCACTTAGAACAATGTGTGGCATATGGTCAGGTCTCAATAAAGGATAAATAAAATAAAGCCTTCCTTAAGCCTTCAAAGACAAACTCCATTACCTAAACAATAAGCCCCAAAGCCAGAACATTTCATCTAAGATACATTATCCCCTGGATGTTATCTTCCTTTCCAGACTCACTTAGCATCACTTCATACATTGAACCTTGTCTCCTGTTCATACCAAACTACTAGCTATTCCCCAAACATTCCATGCTAATTTTGACCTCTATTCCTTTGTCTACATACTGTCTCCATTTCCTAGAAATAGTGCTTTTCTCATTCTTCAATTCAACTCACTCTTCCAGACTCACAACAAATATCATCTCCCCTGTGGATCTGTCCTAAGACACTGTAGTCCGAGTTTACTGTTTCTCTGAGCAACAATAACATATACATTGCTTTATAATGATATATTTGCATTCCTGTCACTTCCCTATACCTATTTCCCACCAGAGAGTGTATTTTCAGAGTAGAATTAAGTATTATTTTCACAGTCTTTGTGCCTAACACAAGATCTAGTACATAGTATATACCTAATGAATATGTACTGAATAATTTATAAAATTTCATCCCATATAGGGTACAATTGAAATCTAGCTTTGATAAACATTCATATTGCTATTTGTATTGGCACTGCCAATTTTTTTTTTTTTAATAAAAGCAAGAACATTTCTATTTTGGTACTATGCTTGATTTTTGTTTTGTTTTTACCATTGAAGTTTGAGCTTGAGGGGTAGTACTTTGAGATAATAAAAGCTCCTGATTTTTGCCCAGTAGAAAAACAAAAACAAGATAAAACTGTAAAAGTGCCTGGCACAAAGCTAGAAGGGAATTCCTTGTTGCTGCTGTCTTGGCTCCAGCTAACATGGGGGTATAGACAGGAGGCAGTGAGCAGTAGCTTGTCCTAAGGCGTTGCCAAAGAAGCCGGTACCAAGAGAATGGGCTCCTTGTTACAGTGATGCTAAGGGATATGAGTGAAACTGAAAGGAGGCACTCAAGTAATTCCCTGTGCAACCTCAAAGGGCTACCACAATTCCCCTGCGTTTAAGAGGACCCCCGCATCCAGGAAAAAGGATTCCAGCCTGTGGAAACAACCCGCAGCCAAAGGCCGGAGTCTCCCCATGGGAGGGCTCAGCAGGAAATGCCTCTTTGCCTTACAGTGGAGTTCAACACTTCAAGTTCCCAGAGATATGTGTTTGTGGTTTACATAAAGGTGGGGAAATTCTACTTTGGACCCACACCTTAAATAATTAGCTTTCCCAGTGGTAAATTTCGTAATTAGACCAATATGTTTACCGTGAAGTGTATGGCATATATATTTGACAAGAGAAATTTTCCATAATTCAGGTCTAGAAAAATTATCCTTAATCCAGATGTGAGAGAAAATAAATTGAGAACATAAAATATTTTAAGTCTAGTCCCACGATAGGCCAAACCCAATATTATGGTGAGCCAGGGCCCCTCTTTGGAGCAAAGTACTTTCCTACACGAAGTAAATAACTTCTTCCTAAGCTTGAAATGTTACTCTCCAGAGAGTATTTTAGTTGCTTGGAGTTTCTGTACGATTGAGATAGTTTAGTAAGTTTGAGCCGAATTTTGTTTCTTTTTCCATCTCCCAGGCTCTAGTCTAATGGTTAGCCAATGCTTTTTTCTTTTTTTTTCAAATACCAAATCCTGTTCAATTTGATTCTTCACAAAGGATGCAAATTATTTCATTGAAACAAACAAACAAACGAAAGGTAATGTTTTACAAGATAGTTGCAAGTTAGGGGGGAAAGCACCCAAACTTTAAAGGAGATATTATAAACAGGAATCATTGCAAATATTCTAACACTTTGGAAATTTGGGTTTATTTCCACCTGCTGCATCTCATTGGGAGACAGACCAAGTGAATAGCTTCCTGGAGCATGAAAAAAAGGCTGTGCTAGAAATCTCCCATGGGAGGGAACATTTGTCAACCTCCAAAGAAAGCATTATCCACTCATTTGCTTATGCTGTTTTGCTAAGGAATATACAAAGTGAGTGAAGAGTTTGCAACCAGAAACTTCATATTTGTGTGATAAATTATGAAATTAATGATTTATGTCAAGTTAAAATATAGATTTTTATGTATTTAGTCTGTGAATGGAATGGAAGGAAACTAAAAAGTTGAGCATACAGATACTTCATCATGTTTCCTCAAATATAAATAACATGGTAAACCCAAAAAAGCCAGCATTCTTTTTTCCCCAATAATAAAAATTATTCAAACTGATATGTTTTCATACTTGTAATAGTTTTCAAATTTGAAGGTCACTAAATTTGTGCCTTATCCAAGGCATATTAATCACATTCATTTATTCAAATCTTTTTCATTCTTTTGTCTGCTCTGTTTGTCAGTTATTGGGAAATGTGTCAAAGTCTTGAAATAGTATTGTAGATTGATCAACCATTTGGTACAATTTTGTCAATTTTGCTTTATATATTTGGAGCTTACATTATCAGATGCATACAAGTTCAGAATTATTACACTTTCCTATGAATGAATAACAGCTGACTCTTACAAAGAACTTACTACGTGATATGCATAATCTAAGTATGGTACATACATTAACATTTTTTAGTCCTCACTCTAAGAGGGAGATATTATTATCAGTTTAAGTTTGGAGAGCTTAAATAACTTACCCAAGATCACACATCAGTACATGGCAATGTCAGGATCTGTACCTAGATATATGGCTACTAAAATTGGGCTTTTAATCAATATAAAGTACTATCTATCTTCTGTTATCATTTAGTGGGCCTCTTTATCACTAAGAATGACTTTCACCACAGTTCATATTCTCTGATATTACTATAGCCACGTAAAAGAAGTCCAGAATTTGGCAGGCCACGGCTGGTAAGGGAATTACATAGGCATCCTGAATCAGATCTTTTTTATCCTTCTGTTCCACTGCGTGCTACCTCAAGGAAAACTCATAGTCTAAAATAGCTGCTGAAACTCCAGCCAACACAAATATATTGCATCTCTAAAGGAAGAGAGGCAGAAGGGCAAAATATGCTCATCTATCTAAAACTGTGCTCTCTAATACAATAACCACCAGCTACATGTGGCTATTGAGCATTTGAAATGTGGCTTGTCTGAACTGAGATGTGCAGAACGTGTAAAATACACACCCAAATCTGAAGACTTCATATTTTAAAAAAGCATGTAAATTATCTCATTAATAATTTGTTATATTGATTTTGTGTTGAAATGATAACATTTTGGATCTACGGGGTTAGATAAAGTTTATTATGAAAATTAATTTCAGCTGTTTCTTCTTACATTTTGAATGTAGCTACCAAAAACATTTAAATTATATACGTGGCTCTCACGTGTGGCCTACGTTATATTTCTATCAAACATCCTGATTTAAAGAGCTTCCTCGGAATTCCCACTCAACAACTTCTGCTTACATTTTACTGACAAGAATTTAGCCCCCTGGATAACTGGTAAGGAAGATTGTAGAATGTAGTCTTCTGACTAAACCGATTACCTTTTCCAACTATTATTTAAGGAGCATTGGAGAATTGAGACCTGGGGAGACAACTGGTGGACTTTCCCCCTTAAGACAATGCCTCCTTTTCAAGAAACTACCAATTGTTTTCACAGTGGCTGTACCACTGGACATTCCCACATCCTCACAGCCCTTGGTGTTTGATTTTAGCCATTCTAAAAGATACGCAGTGGTATCTCATAGTTTTGAGTTTGATTTCCCTTATGACTAATGATGTTGGGCATCTTTTCATATGCATATTCAACATCTATATCACTTCTTTGGTAAAGTGTCTTTTAAAATATTTGCTCATTTTTTAAATTATTTTTTTCTTGTTATTTAGTTATAACGATTCTTTAAATATTCCAAATACAGGTCTTCATAAGATAAGTGCTTTGTGCATGTTATCTCCGAGTCTGTGACTTGTCCATTAATTTTCTTAACAGTGTCTTTCGTATTTTTGATGAAGCTTAATATATCAATATTTTGATTTAATAGTTTGTGCTTTTTATGTCCTTTCTAAGAAATCTTTGCCTAACTTCCAATCACAAAGATGTCCTCCTGTATTTTTTAATAGTATTTTTTTGGTTTTGGTACTCACATTTAGGTCTATGTTTTTTGAGTTAATTTTTTTACATGATGTGCAGTAAGGAATCACAGACCATTGGTGCATCTCATCTCCTTAAGTCTAAAATGTTATGGAGGATTTCTTCTGTTCCCAGAGGCTCCCTAGAGAGAAAGGGAAAGAAAAGATGGGGAGGAAAAGCTGAACAACTGAGTGTTTACCTCAAAAGGCTGATTTAAATTGGAAAAGTCTCAAGCAAAACTTAAATCAAAAGTGACTAGTTACTTGATTGGGAAAATTTAAACTTTTCAAAACTAGATAGAAATAGGAGCATATGAACAAGTTAGTTACAGAAAATGAAATTACCTTTCTATATATTTATGTTATAGGGCATAAATTTTAAACTGCTACAATTGAATCAATGTGTAAATAATAATAACTATATCTGTTTATGAGTCTTCAATATTATACATCTTTTAATAAGAATTTAAGGAGGAAATGCTACTTTTCTTATTAACATTAAAAATAACATAAAACCCAAAACTCTTGATTTTGACTTCTCCTGGTGAGGAAGAGAGATAGACAACATATTTCTAAGATTGATTTGTCTTTCCATCCACTGTTTCCACCATCATATTGGCCACCAAAGGGAAAAACTCTCCCCTTAACACTGGACAGATGACCATTCCTTTGTTTACCCATAGCTTATCTAACACAGGGCTGTAACATTCAATGTAACTTTCCAAAAGCCTTGAAGATAACAAAAGGAAATTAATAGCAGAATCTAGGCAATCTGGGATACAAAATAGGGCTAATTTGCTGAAGCCAGCTGTCCACTATATAGGCTCTTTCCCCGTTGGGCTCTTGATGTTACAGATATCCTTTTAAAACCGCCTAAGTAAGAATTCCTTCTTGGATATTCAGACTCATTAGAATGGAGAACAAGAGAAAATGGCTAAGCTTTTTTCTTCCATTTCCATAGGTTTTGCCCCCTCATATCTAGTTCTGGCTTGAGAGTCCATCCCTTCCATCAGTTACTGAGGCTGAGAATGACCTCACTCTTTAGGAAACTGAAACTATCTCAGCAAAGGAATGTTCCTCTTGATAACCATAAGTTAATAAAGTAGTTTAAATATTCCTAAAGAGGGAATTGTCTCTTCACACTGATGGTGGACAAACATTGCTTGGGGAATGAGAAGATTTGCAAGACCTAGTTCTTGTCCTCAAGGAATTTACAATCTAGTCAGGGTTATGAGGTCCACAAGCCAAATAAACCAATACTCCAAAGTAAATGATATATTATTTCATAGCACTTCAGAAAAAGTAGAGGAGGATGCTTGGGCTTAACTTTGACATTGAGACATCAAATTGAAGGAAGGACATTCCAAGCAGGGACATTGTGTAAATAAAGGTGAAGGCACAGAAACATGAGAGATTCTAAAGAATACCTCATAGCAAGTTTGGTTACAGAAGTAAGTAGACGTAAAATTAGGACAGAGAAAAGATATATTAGAGTTTGAATCTCCTCCTTTAGGAAGCAGGGTGCCAGATACAAATTCTGAGCAGGGTGAATTCATGATGTAATGCATGACTTTAAGATAATTAATCCAGAGATGGAATTGGGATGTCGTGGTGGGGACAGCTTGAAGGCAGGCAAGCCAGTTGGGAGGCTGTCTCTTGTATAGCTGCAGTTCTGAAATAATGAGAATTTGACCTAGGGTGGTGGTAGTAAAAATAAAGGAGACAGAAATCAAAGAAATTAGAAGAAAAACTGACTAAGAGTCATGAGAATTGGGATACTTGACTTTCAAAAAGGTAGGAGGTAATTGTTAATATAAAAATGGTAATTACTAATTGACCCTGTGGCAGGGAGGGTCTTTGAAATTCATGCTATTTTTATAAATCCTCTGAATCTGGCTAAGTATCTAGACATAAGTCATCCAATTATATAAATTGGATCACTTCTTGAGGTGCTAAAAGTGAAACTGAGCTCAATGACAACGCTCAAAGTAAGGACAACATATAGTACCGATCCATTTAACACTTCCCCATCAACCCTTCCCTTTGCTTGAATTCATCCCTCTAAAAGGCAGAAATTGAAGTTCCAAAAGAACACTTTAAAATGGCAAATTTCCTCCAGATTTTCGAAGAGAAATTCCAGCTATCTCACAGTACTGATGGGTCAGTTGTATCTTGGCCAAATGCTAAGTCTTAAAGCATGTCTCATTACTGACAACCCTTGGACTTGCCGCTAGGAGTCAGATATTGAAAATGCTTTTCACTGTAGCATACGGGACCTGGGCATCAGACAGAGGCTCTGAATAGTCCTACTTGGCATGGAATTCCCTCCAGGTCCTTTTCCCCTTCTCACCACTCTTTAGTCATTAGAATGACAGGTAAACTAGTTTTCTCCTGGCATTTCAAAGAGCAATAGTTAATTTCCTTTCGGGTGGGAATTTTTTATTTATTTGGTTTTGTTTTGTTTTAACTGCCTGTTTTGCTGAAAGTGCTTTTATGCTGGTGCAAATCTAGACAAAGAAAACTTTTATGCAAAATAAACAAAATAGAATGTCCTGAGCCAGGATTTCTTTGCAGGACATGTTCCTGAGGCTATTTCTGAGAGGTTATTTATGGACGGCTGTTTATCCCCTGGAGCCTGACTTCATCGCTTGGTGAAATGAAACGACTCTGTTTAGTACATTGGTCTGCCACCCCTGGGAATGGCTGGATGTCAAATATTTACCCCTGTGGGATCGAACAGAAATCAGAGATGCACAGAGAAAACAGAAATCCAATCCAGTGTTCTTGGGAATTAGTAAAATTTCAAAGTAAGTGAATTTTTAAAGCAAAAGCATTTGAAATAAAATGATAGCACGGTGTAACTTTCTTTATTGGAAGAAGGGGAAAAGTCCTCTGAAATACAAATTGACTTCAAGCAGAAGGGTATTTTCATCTTATTACTTTCTCAGGGACCACACCCATCCCATTCCCTCACCTGGCTCAGTACCAGGCCCAGAGGGAAAGGTTTTAAATTTTTATTTTTTTAATTGAAAACGGATGCTGCACCTTGTTTTCCATGCCTGCATTTTTCATCAAGAAAAAAAAAGAACACCTAGCCAAGGATTAGTTTTGTACCTCTGCAACCTCATAAAACCTAGGAATCAAAACTTGGCGGCCAGCTTTATAGATAGTTACACTGGAAAAATCAAGAAACTCCCAAATAAGTTTGCTATCTTCCCAAGATTTCTGATTTCAAATCGCATGCCTGTCTCCCGCATCAACCCCTGCCCCCACCACAGAGTTTTCCTTTGGCATTATACTTCCCGTATTGTCAGAAACAAAGCTACATTTAAAAGGTTAAGTCAAATAAACCCAGCTACAAAAGGGCTTATAAAATAATCATAGTCGTGAACAGCAAGGAAAGAGATCAGCCACTGAAAGCATAAAGGGAATACTTCGTGGATGGCCGCACTTTAAATAAAATTCACGTGAGCTATGTAACATTAGATGGTTTTAAAATTCGGAGGACAAAGTACAGACATGTTTGTGCATTTCTCTTTCCTTGGATGAGTCTTTGTGAATTGGGTCTGGACCACATACAGTACTCTGCTGCTTGCACACACGGAGCTGGCAAGTTTACTTTGGTGTTTTCCACACGGAACCTTGTGCACTATCAAGAGACAAGAACAATTCTATCTCCCTCCTAAAGACGAAAGTGACACCAAATTCCGGCTTGATCTGCTCAGTCTCAGAACCAGTATCCGTTTGAAATACTGTCCGAGCAACTTCCTAGAATCTTGGGAAGCCAGCCGGTCATCCCAGGCTGCCCTGCCCTCTGTGAGAATGACAGCATTTGGAAGGAGGCTCGGCATACGAAATTTAAAAGTAAATGTTTGGCAGTTTTGGAGGTCCTCAAGTTTGGCAAGGCGAGTATAATCAACAAAGGGGCATTACTTTTAATTGTATTTAAAAATATAAGTCCCTGCAGACTGGAACTGTGTGCTAGGAGAGGCACTTGTGCTGTTTGCCCCTTTGCACCAAGGCGGGGGGGACACAGCTTACACAAGCTGGCTTTGTTTTTATTAATGCAGCAAGCGGTCCTCCCCACCACCCTTCCTTTCAGTGCTCTTGTCGGTAACCCGCTCTGCTAAAACTGGTTACTAAGAAAAATTCCACAGAAACCAAAAGAAAAGGGCTGGGCAGAGATGTGCGTTTAAAGAGCTTTTGCAGACTGACTCGGCAGAGCTGTCTGCAGGCAATGCGTGGTTTCAGCTATTATTACTTGAATGGGTTTCAGCTCCAGGGATGTCCCCCAAGGTTAACAAGATAGTTCAGTTAAAAATAACATTAAATTCTTTTCCCTAGCCGTTATCCCGAAGGGGGGGGGGGTCACATTTAAATAACATGAAGGATCTGGTTTAAAGTGACAAAAGCCAGCAAATTCAGAATTAAGGGAGGCTAGAGTTCTATTTCCAAACCCCTCCAAGCCTCTTCTTGAAGGGTGAAAAAAATAAAGGCTCAGTGGAGTGAGTTAAGGATGAAGTGCCAGCTTTAACCAGGCAATATAGAGCTTTTGTGCCTTCTGGGGTGGGCTCTTCTGGGGCACCGAAGCGGTGGATAGGGAGAAATGGTGTTTAAAGGAAAAACAAGCTAAGGTGGGGATGGGAAGTTCGATGTATGAACTGCTAGGCTCTGACAAACGTTCATTTAGAATTAGCAAAGAAAAGCATTCTCGGGTACTTGGCAAAAACTTTGTCATCTGATTAATCGTGCTTGGGGTTTTCTGTGCGCCATCCTTTTCCTTTTAGTTTTCGACATGGCACACACACACAAATTCCAGTCTTCATTTTCATTGAAACCCTTCTCTTTTAATTAAAGAGATGCTCAAATGGAATGGAAATTTTGGTAAAGTATTTGAAATTCATGGCTTATTGGACCACTAGATTACAGCAGTTGTGAAGATGTCATTAGGGGCTGCCTATGGCCAGTGATTGGGAGTAAGTCAATATCACTCACGAACGTCCAGAAGGAAAGAGGCTGGCTCTGGACCTGTGTCCATGGTTTCCTACAAAGTGTACAATTCTTTCAACTAAGTACTTCTCAAACCAGGATTTTAAGCTAAAGTATTTCCAACTTAAAACGGGAAAAATTTTTACAACGTCCAGCTACTTTGATTCCATTATATTTGTGCCTATTTTTACAATCAAATATAACATTTAAAGGCGTTTGAGCAGAAACGTGCTATATTATTAGTGTCATCTACATTCTCAAGTGGTATCAGATAAGCTTAATTTTTTTTCATTCTGAAAACTAGTGTAATCTTCAGGCAATTACCAGTGTACTTTCTATCTCCATACAAAAGAGAAAATTTCTTTTTCATTTGCCTCATTCTGACTCCAGTTCATTACAAACACCTGGAACTGACCTTTTAAACTCTCTAATCTTATGGTGAAATTAATATTTCCTTACTCCCAACGCTGATTTAATATTCATGGAGTTAAAGAAAAAAAGCCCTTTTCCTACATATTTGTTAGTGGAAATTTTAAGAAATCATCCTATTTCCATTAGTGGCCACGCCAGCATCTCTTCACAGCATGCTCAGTGCCTGCAACCACATTCGGTAAAATGTAATAACTAGAGTTTTCCTAATCTTCCCACAAGAAACAAGCTGCTCCTCTAACGCCCTGCCATTAAAACAAAACAGAGCTGTGTGCTTGACCCTCTGGGTTCTTTAGCGACGGACTTCACTTCGAGATTTTATGTAACCCTGTCCTTCCCATGCAAAGAGGATGACATTGGCCCAAAACAGCAGTAATTTCACCTTAGGTAGTTTTTTGGTGTAATTTTCAGGATTTCACAAAGCCATGTACAGTGTTTTGCTGTCTCGTCCCTTAACAGCACATTTTAAATAGTGGCCAGCTGGCTGAGATTAGAGACCCAATCTGTGGCCAAAGAGGAGAAATCAACAGGCCCACACACGAACTAGGCCTCTAGCTGGCTTCACTGATGTCATTAATTTAAGAGCTAACCAACTTTATTGATACGACACGTACTGCCATTTTATCGTGCGAGGAGAGGGCCCCGTCTGAAGTCCTGGAAGTTGGCAATGCAGATATTGAGTGTGGGCCTAGGAGGGAGGAAGAACAACTGGCCCTGCCACTTCAATAGCTGTGTAACCTAGGCAGCCCTAGACGCATATAACTCCTTTAAGCCTCATTCTTGTCATCTATAAAGTGGGGATAAGATCTACCTCATAAGGTAGGATTACATAAATAGCGAAAAAATGTTTACCAGGGTGATGGATAAAAAGCACTCAGTAAATGGTGGCTGTGATTATTGTTGTTATTGTTATTATTACTGTTTTGTTTTGCCTAGTCTCCCTATATTTTTCCTCTCCCCAGTTTTGAGCAGTCTTTAGGCTTTTGAATTCCCTACCTTAGGAACTCTGGAAACTTTGAAGGCAGAAGCAGCCTGAGGACACTGGTTCTTCCTGTTTTGTACACAGTCCAAATCCGCTCAAGAAACCCTTCAGGCGTCCTGATGCAGAAGGCGGGAGGGAGATGCCCGTGTGGAAGCTCCAAGCTGCCAAAGGCAAGTCTGAGGGGTGCTGAGAGCTGTGAGTCCTGCTCCGCAGTGTTTCTGACCCAGGAAGGAGGGATGGCTGTAGGCTCCCAATGGCGAGGGGACAGCCTGGCGATGGCTAACTTCACATTCAGACTGAGGCTTTCTTTCTCCTCCATTGTCGATGGAATAATAAATCTTGATTTAAAAACAAGAGCATTGTTCAAATACCCATTCTGAGGACAGCAGAGCAGAAGGGAATCTTGGAGAACTGGGTTTGACTTTGGCATCTGTGAGTGGCTGACTTGGTGACTTTGGGCTCACATGGGTGGACACAAAGTCAGGATGACTGAAAATGAGGTTCTCTGGGGACTGATGGCTGGCCATTTTCCCACTCATGTCACCTCAGACAGCTACTGCCATTTCTTCTTTTCCAGAAGCAAAGAGCCAAGAAATCTTGGATGAAGACTAAGCATAGCTGGGTGACCCTGAGCAAGTCACTTCATCTCCTTACTTTTCACTTGAAAATGAGGTTAGCAACTCTCAGCTTTCTGAAGACACAAGGGTTGAAGTAGAAGACCACGTTAAGGTCTTTTTCAGTGAAAAAAATCATAATAAAAATGAAATGAGGTATGCGTCCTTCTTGCTGTATTCAAGGTGATGGATAAGAATGACATTTTTCAATTCACTCATTCTATCGACAAACGTTAAATTATTAACGTGCTGTTCTATCACTATATTTGGGCACATGAGAAGTGGGTCTGTAACTAAATAGTGAGTTTCCTCCCTCCAAGATATAGTACGACCAAATTCACTGAAATAAATTGAATCACTCTCAGTCCATGTGCCAGGTCTATGAGTAAAGAGGCCTGAGAATTAGGTTTCTAACAGAAGTACCATGGAATCATTAAATCATGCTTGTGCTTTTTCCCGTCAACTTGAAAGGCTTTTGGCTTCATAACTTTGAAAACATTTCCCCCAAGCTCTCCATATTCTAAAGCAGTTCTTTACCCATTTATCCACCTCAAAATTATCTAATCCTTTACTTCATAAAGAGATTTCCATGAAACTCTAGTTCTGAAAAATGTTAAAAGAAAGTATGTGAAGAAAAATAAACAAAAAGGCTTTTCTCCTAAAGTTTGGTGTATGTTGGGTAAACAAATTCAGTCAGTTTTCTATATTATAGTGCATCTTTGAAATTTTAACATCTTAATGTGCATTGCGACTTTTAAGAGGAGGATATACTGCATAGCATTTCTCAAATTTATTTTACCAAGGAAATACTTGTTTCAAAGAGCATCGCCTAGAAACACAATGTGACAAACTGTGGAAAATTCTAGCTGGGACTTAAGCAATTTTTAAACATCTAAATCCCTTTTCTTTTCTTTCTTTTTTTTTTTTTTTGGTGAAGATGATTGGCCCTGAGCTAACATCTGTTACCAATCTTCCTCTTTTTTTTTCCCCTCCCCAAAGTCCCAGTACATAATTGTATATCCTAGTTATAAGTCATTCTAGTTCTTCTACGTGGGATGCTGCCACAGCACGGCCTGATGAATGGTGCTAAGTCTGCGCCCAAGATCCAAACCAGCAAACCCTGGGCCACCAAAGTGGAGCACGTGAGCTTAACCATTCGGCCACACAGCTGGCCCCTAAAAATTTAAATTCTTTTTTTTTCTTCATTTATTTGTTTATTTTCAGATGTACATCATACTATATTTGGAATTCTGTGTAGATTACATCATGTTCACCACCCAAAAACTAATTATAATCCGTCCCTTCACATGTGAGCTTAATCACCCCTTTTGCCCTCCCCCCTACCCCCTTCCCCAATGGTAACCACCAATCCAATTTCCAATGCTATGTGTTTGTTTGTTGTTGTTTTTATCTTCTACTTATAAGTGAGATCATATGGTACTTGACTTTCTCCCTCTGACTTATTTCACTCAGCATAATACCCTCAAGGTCCATCCATGTTGTCACAAATGTCCGGATTTCGTCATTTCTTATGGCTGAGTAGTAGTCCATCGTGTATATACACCACATCTTCTTTAACCATTCATAAAGCAATCTATAGATTCAATGAGGTCCCTATCAAAGTTCCAAGAACATTTTTCACAGAAATAGAACAAATAATCCTAAAATTTATATGGAACAACAAAAGACCCCGAATAGCCAAAGGATTCCTGAGAAAAAAGAACAAAGCTGGAGGTATCACACTCCCTGATTTCAAAATATACTACAAAGCCATAGTAACCAAAACAGCATGGTACTGGCACAAAAACAGACACACAGATCAATGGAACAGAATTGAGAGCCCAGAAGTAAACCTACACATTTATGGACAGCTAATATTCGACAAGGGAGCCAAGAGCATATGATGGAGAAAGGAGAGTCTCTTCAATAAACGGTGTTGGGGAAACTGGACAGCCACATGCAAAAGAATGAAAGTACACCATTCCCTTGCACCATTCACAAAAATCAACTCAAAATGGATTAAAGACTTGAATGTAAGACACAAAACCATGAAACTTCTAGAAGAAAACATAGGCAGTATGCTCTTTGACATTGGTCTGAGCAGCATATTTTCAAGCCCCATGTCTGACCGGGCAAGGGAAACAAAAGAAAAAATGAACAAATGGGACTACATCAAACTAAAAAGATTTTGCACAGCAAAATCTAAAATCTTATCCTCAAGACAAACACAATTCCTGGACCCAGACATCAGCTAGACAAATGTACCAGGATGATGTCTTCAATAGAAAAATTGAAGATTAAAATAAATAGTCAATTTGACTCCATCAAAGGAGAGCAAACCAAGGATAGCCAAATCTTCATATTCTTTTTAAAATTTTTCTTTTCATATATAGAAATGATAGTTTCCCATTGTGGAAAATTTGAAAAAAGAAGTAAAATAAAGAAAATAAAAATGATCTGCCCCTCCACTACTCAGCTATCTGGTGTGTATCCTTTCATTGTCTTCTCCACGGTATGTATAGACACATACATCTTTTGTGTATTTTATATATGTAACTTTTCAACTTCTTTCCCATTTTATTTTAGCTCATTAGAATTCTCCTTTCTTATTAAAAACTTTTGAAATCACAGTTTGCAATGGTTGCAAAGTATTTCATCATATGGCTGTACAGTAATTTGTGTTGGACATTTGAACTATTTCTAATTTTTCACTATTATAAATAGAGTTATTGTGAATATCCTTACACATAAATCTTTGTCTGTATTTGTTTATTTCCTTAGGATGGATTCCTAGAAGTGGAATTATTGTGTCTAATGGCATAAATTTTTTCAAGGCTCTTTATACACTAAAGCCTAATAGCTTGCCAGAATATTTATATCAATCTACACTCCAACAGCATATGAAAGTGGACAGTGTAATAATGACTCTGGCAGTTTAGGTATCTCTAAATAAAAGGAATACTTTACCCTGAATTTTGTGAAGATAAAGAAAGAATTTCCACAAGCAGAAGGACCTACAACTAGAATATGCAGCTATGTACTGGGGGAGCTTTGGGGAGAAGAAGAAGAAAGAAAAAAAATAAAAGAAGATTGGCAACAGATGTTAGCTCAGGTGCCCATCTCTTAAAAAAAAAGGAAAGAATTTGTCAAGAATTACTCTACTCACACTCTGTATTAAAATTCTACATATTTTATCATATATGCATATGTATATGATATCAACTTACAATTCTGCCACAACAGGAAACTATTAATAATCTACAAGTAATAAAGATGAATAACTTGTTTTAATTCTGACATTTCTTTGCTCTGTGAAACTCATTTCTTCATAATCTGCTCTAGAGTAGGGTTTCGTGTCCTGCTGTGAGGCTATTCTCATTAACTTTTGGCATTTATTTATATATCTGCTGAAAATACAGTCTATCTTATCATTAATTATCAGTTTTTAATAGTTAGTAATCTCTCATTTGCTCACTTCCCTGATCTTGCTTTTCCCAGAACACACCTTCCTACCTACTGGTACCTCTTCCCAGAAATTCTTCCTCCATTGATTTGTTCATTGACTCTCTTATTTTGTTTAGATGTCCGTTCAAATATCACCTCTGAAAGAGCAGACTTCCTGCCTCCCTCTTTCTTCATGTTAGTTAATTTTTTTCCTAACAATTATTATTTAACCTCATGTTATTTACTTTTCTATGTGTGTATTGTTCTTTCCCCCCTCCCAACAAGAATGAAAACTCCATTATGGCCCCAGCCCCGTGGCCTAGAGGTTAAGTTCAGCATGCTTTGCTTCTGCAACTGGGTTCCATTCCAGGCGTGGATGTCTGGCACTTGTCAGTGGCCATGCTGTGGCAGTGACCCACAAACAAAATAGAGGAAGATTGGCACAGATGTTAGCTCAGGGTGAATCTTCTTCATTCAAAAAAAAAACCAACCAACAAAAAACACGAGGGCAGAAACTATATCTGCTTCATCCACTACTGTAGCTCTAACATACTCATAGTGTCTGGCACTAGTAGCCCCTTAATAAATATTCGATAAACAAATAAAAGAACTTTCCCTACCTCCAACTTCCTTTCACAAAAGCTGTTTACCTGTTGAAGTTGCTAATGAAAACATCTGTGTGAGTGTACAGCCAAAACCTTTCCCAAGTTCACATTCTAGGTCTGCCTTCTTCCTGGACCACGTATTTTTTCCTGTGAGATCAGAGGTTTCAGTAACAGGCAATGCTGAAAGGAAGAGCCCTTAAACACCAGTTAATGAGAGGAGTCATTTCCTGCTTAATCTGTAAATTGATCTCCCACTGAGCAGAAATATGAATACGATGACAATGCTTTCTCTTCAACACTTTTTACGTCTGCCTGAGCTCAGGGATGCTATTATTTACTTATGTTATAGCCCATATCATGAGGCTGGACAAGAAGTCAGCTCTAGAATAGATCTTTGGTGACAGGTATACTGGGGCAGGGCAGAGGGGCGGGCACAGGGATCTGTCCATGATGAGTAATGTTCTCTGTGTTCTTGGTGCTTTTGTCATCTTATACTCCCCGCCCCCTTAATCTCAGGGAGCGACCTCCTACTTCTGTATTGATTTGAAGTTGACAGTCAGCTGACTCCCTCCTTCATGATTAGACAGGAAATACGTCGTGAAGTAATGGAGTAGAGTTGAATTTATCAATTCTAGTTTTAGTTCCTCTCCCTGGGAACCTGGTAAAAATCACTTAATTCTTCTTCATCAGAAAATGAGAAATCAACCAGATGATCTCTGAGTTCCTATACTTCAAATATTCTAAGATTATGATCTATGGCAGAGCTTCCTAAGGATTTTCCATGGAATTACAAATTCCATAAATGTCCCCAGAGAGCATAGGGATCAGAGGGGTCCCAAAGGACCAGTACAAATAAGTCAGGGAAAGTCAGGACATCATAATCCCCTAAGAAACGTAGGTTGCA